TCAGATTACAGGTCTACTAGATCTGAAAACGCTCCAAAACGCGACAGGCGCACGCAGTTCCCAATATCTGTGGAAACTGGACGAGTGCCACGAAAAGGACCTTGCTGGTGCATTCGAACTTCATCATAGGATGAACTGGAATGCCGGGAAAATGTCTGACGCCTTCCACACACTCGGAAGAATCAACTGCCTCAACAGCGCAGACGGATTCGGATATCAGCGTATATGCACTGCAACCACAAAAACCTTGATACGCATGGTGCACAATTCGAAAGAACCGACCCCTCCACAGCAGCCCAACACTGCCTCAACAGCGCAGACGGATTCGGATATCAGCGTATACGCACTGCCACCGCAAAAACCTTGATATGCATGGTGCACATGTAAGAACCGCGATAATTCGAAAGAATCGACTTCTCCGCAGCAGCCCAAAACTGTAAGAAAGCTCATGCACAGAAACTCTGCATTGCTGACCGGCAATAGCGTTCCCAGACTGTCGTTTACTGCCCATGCCATAATGTAGCTATTCTCGTATGAGCGTACCTTTCCCGACTTCTCACTCTGTTTCTCTTATGGTCTGCATTCCTCGACTACCGTCTTCGCCCAAACATAAAACATATGTTTCTGGCCCGATACAGTCGTTGGGTTCGGGGGAAGATGGTACCCTCCACAGCAGCCCAACGCTGTGAGAACTCAGCCGATGCACATAACCCCTGCGTGTTTGACTCGCAATGGAGTTCCCAAAACACTTGCTTCTCTTACTCCCCATTTCATAATGCAGCTGTCGCGGACGCCGCACCCTCCCCGATATCTCACTCTGTTTCCGTGTCTGTACGCCTCAACTATTTTACCCACCCGCACCCTTCCTTCCCCCTCTGACACCCTCCATCAAAGAGTCTCTATTCCTCCTCATGTCCCTGTGCACCTCACAAGCATTCCACCCTCCATTTCCACCTCTGGATGTCATACTCACACCGTACTCTTCTGAAAATTTGCCAAACATACATTAGCTCGGAGAGTGCATAGCTGGGTCAGCATCCCCTATGGGAAATGGCCACCACAAGCATGACAATCAACCTTGCTGCAGTTATATTATATATGGAAAAGCGCCGAGTGCGATTGCCAGGTCTGGGGTAAACCATTTGATCCTCTTATTGATACCGGATCATCGGCCGTAGCAACATAGGCACGACAATCGCCTGTAACTTCCGCCAAAATTCACCAGCAGAATCATGCATCGCCATCCCTCTTCCGATCGTGTACGGTTAACAGTCGACACTTACATCACCTCCAACGACATTTTACACGCAACCAAATGTCCCTCCAAGCTCGATCGTCACTCCCCCAGAGCCGAGGAGATCATTTCTGTCATTTCTAAGTTCGCAGCCACCTTGTGATCCTTCCCCCTCATCACAAGACACAGCCAATCCCCAACGTACCCTGTCACACTTACCTCAAGCATCTTAATCCATGAAGAAAGAATGGTCAACGCCAAGGCAGCTCCATCCCTTCGTAAGTTCGTAAGTTTGTAGCGAAACTTATAACCCCCTACTCCTCCCAAGACGCTGCCAACATCCAAAATACCCTCTCACATGCCAAGGCAGCTCCATCCCTTTGTAAGTTCGTACGTTTGTAGCCAAACTTATAACCCCCTACTCCTCCTCCCAAGACGCTGCCAACCTCCAAAATACCCTCTCACACCTCCCTCAAGCATCTTAAAGTAGAAAGCAAGAAATGCCAAGTCAACCCCGCCCTTCCC